TTTTGACCCGGTGTATACATATAAACGTGAAAAAAAACATAAAAATGTAAAAAAAGGTAAATACATAAAAATACACTGTATACATATGAACCTTCTTAACACAGGACAACAATTTCTATCGCGACACAACGAAGATATTAATTTAATTTTCTACAATCTTTTCAATCTAAAAAATTTGTCCAATTATTATTATCTTTTTCATTTGACGATATGCTCTGAATAAAATAACATTGTAATACGAACAATATCAAATTCAACTCGAACGTTAACGATGCGATAAAGTTCCTGAACTTCCGTCGATCGTATTACAATGATTTCTCAGTTCTCGGCAATTGAGATGAACGAATTGTTGTTAAGTCATAATAACGACAGAAACAAAAGCGAACGGTTCTGCAAGAATGATTTACGAAAACATGTTCCGCGACGTCGCCGAATAAAGCTGAGAATATGAAAAATATTCGAGTTATTGCAAGAGACACTCGCGATGTTTTTTGAGGGGCGAGGGGAGGTAGGGAGGGGGGGATTGCTATTGTGCCGTGCTAAAACGCGGAATTTGTTGAGTTGAACAGCGTGCACGAGCCATTTTAATACCGGAGTCTCGGGAATTTCATCCGACCCGGAATCATTTTATTGCACAGAATTTTCACGATTATACGCGTATTTCCAAAACTTTATTATCAACCGCTGTTTTATTGATCTCGTATTCATAATAATCGTATTGTGTTACGTTCACGATTAACCGAACACGGCCCATTGAGTTTTCAAATCGAATGCTTAATGCGCATGCGGCCATTCCATCGACATCGGTCCACGGTAATATCATGCAATACGGGCGAAAATGATATTGTTTTATATGAAACCTTTAAACATTGCCACGCGATAGCGATTCGACTCTACAAAGTGTGGATAATTTTCATTTAACAATTTACAGGTTATCGTGCGCGCGTCCCAGTTCGTTCAGATGACATAATATTTTAATATTACTCTGTAACGTGCTATAACGGAATTTATATACATATATCAGTATATTCGACCATTTACAACATCGCAAATGATCCATAGATATATATGTATAAATAATGAAATAAATGTACACAAAAATTCAAGTCATTTAGTCCAGTTTCAAAAAAATTATCACGCATCAAAAGTGTGCCAAAACTTTTTTTTACATATTGTACATGTAATTAACAACTAATGTAATTTGCACTTATCAGAGACAATTTTAATTTCGCAAGAAATAATGCCAATTATAATTACAAAGACTCGCATTATAGTCGTAACACCTTCCAAGCCGAAATCATACTGATTGAGCTAGGCGTCGACGAGAGTCTCGCAGCCAGTGATTTCAGTGTCCCGCCGATGCACCCTTCTATTCCCCATAGAAGGCTTCCTTTCTCGCCGGTTTGCCATTTTCGAAAAACGAAACTGCACCGCCGAGACCTCGTTCGCGTGGCAGGAAAATAAACATAGCATAGCGAAGTCTTTCGTACCGCGACTACGTCGCCGGCCGTATTATAAATTTAAGCGATTTAACCCCATCCCCCATCCGCCGGCGACACACGGTAACAACCCCCTTTAATATATTATGTATCCCAGAGGGACGAAATGCAGTATTTTCTGACAGTGTCATTTTTCTACTTGACACCTGGATGGGACCTGGTTACCATGCATTTCGCTCTCGAACGGATTTACGGGCTTCAATGGCACATGATATTAAATCAGTTCTGTTCAGCACATTATTGAAAACACTTGGAGGGCGGCCGCGTCTGCCGCGTTTGAGAAATTTGTCCGCGGCGGTGCACGGGAAATGCAAATCCCGTGACTTTGATTTATTCGTTGCGAAATCGTCGATCTTAAATGCTGAAATTGTTAATTTGCATTTACAGTACCGATTTTGTTACGAGCATCAATTTTTTATGTTCATTAAATATAGTTGCTTTATGTTTGCTATATAAATATAGTTGCTTTATATTAATTATATTTATTAAATATATTTACTTTAGATTGATTATATTTGCTAAATATAGTTACTTTATATTAATTATATTTACTAAATATATCCACTTTATATTAACTATATTTACTAAATATATTTACTTCATATTAATTATATTTACTAAATATGTTTACTTTATATTATGCATATTTACTAAACATACTTATTTTATATTAACTATATTTACTACTATATTAATCATATTTACTTTAACAACACTAATTTTAACTTATTTTTTAAATCAAAAATCTGTAAATTATTATATCATATTGAGTTCAATAATTAGAAGAACAATAATTATATATTTATGTTTGACGTGTTCCACGAACTTTTCTCGTTTCCCGGTTAAAACTTTTATAGCGTTATACCGCTACAGGTGCTCTTGAACGCTGTTCAGATTTATTAGACTATGGTGCACTAGCGTTAAACGCGGAACCCTCTAAATCCCGATCCATCGGCGAAACAGTTTTTGCAAACAGCTCGCGAGCAAGATAGCACCGGCGGTGGAGTACCGGTTTTAGGCGACAAAACCTTTTTTACGTTGTTTTGGGAACACCAATTATTTCCGCTTCCGAGAACATCGGACGTTATTTCGACACGCGAAACTTGTACAACGCGTTGTTGTCCGCCAACTGATTTCGAAGAGGATCAATTCGTTCGATTTTGCTCGCCAACCGATAATTGTGCGTCGTTATATTACCGGAAAAATTAGCATTTAGTGTCAAATGGTAGATAGAATCATTTTGTCCTATTCTTTATTCCATGTCAGTTATAACTAGACTGCGGATCTTTATGCAAAATAAAAAAATTGTCCAAAACGATTGTGAGAAACGGAGATTAAACAGAAATAAATTTCTCTTTTAATAATTCGAATAATCTGCGAATATTTTAAGTAATTAAATAATTAAACAGTTAAATAATTTGAATAATTTCCGAATATGAAATAGTTAAACAGAAATACATTTCTTCTAATAATTCGAGTAATTTGCGAATATTAAATAATGAAATAATTGAACAGCTAAATAATTCGAATAATTTGCGAATATTAAGTAATTAAATAATTGAACAGTTAAATAATTTGAATAATTTACGATAGCAGTATTACTAAATTGTATTTATGTCCTCGCAGTTTTATATTTCAGCTGTTCATTTTTCGCATAAATGTGTAAAAATGACTAGATTGAGTACCAAAGTCAGTCGCGGTTTATGGTCGGTAGATTTGTCTATAATCTCTTCGCTGACTAATTTTTCGCGCTTACCGTCACCGCTTCCGATGACTAAACTTTCTATCACAGAATGTGCTAAACGTATTTGGACAAGCGATACTTGGACAATCGAGAATTCAGCTGATCGTAGCTCGCAGAAACGGTGTTCGTGCTATGAACATTCTCTCGTGCACGAAATCGTGTTACATTTTACACAAATATACAATTTGTGCAAACAATTGTTTTCGAATCGTTTCGCAAGAATATTAATCGAAAACAATTGTTCGAGCGTACTCTTCTGCTGAATCGAACATTGTCTTCGAATAACGATTGTGTTCGCTGTTCGAACAACGGTCGCCATTAAGAAAATTCGTGTTTCTTTAGAACGTAAAAAAAAACAAATATAATCCATTTAAGCAAAAAAAACTGTTCCGAACGGAATGAGTAATGCCCACTTTTGTCCTGTCCGGCGTAGTTAAAATGTATTACCTAACAACTGTGCATACGGAATTCCGCGTGCATTTCAACTTTTAATTACAGTTGGTTGGAACGAGCAAATCCATTTTTTACACCGCGTGTTTCGTAGGCCGCCGAATGGGATTTATTTTTCGAAACGGTTCTTTAAAACAGTGCTCTCGTTCTCCAAATGTCTCTGCGTCTAGAACAGCGAACGCTATCGGCTAAAAAAGAACGAGAAAAGAAGAAAAATTATATTATTTCAAGAAGAATTATATCGTTTAAAAAGCAGATTTATATATCATTTTGTTTCTCGTTTACTTGGTATGCAGCATGCGAGTTCTCCATAAATCCGTTCGGTTACGCGTTCGCAAAAATCCTTCGGGATCAAGAGATTTCAAAATGGGAACGTACCATTTTTTGGTAAAATGGGCACATACTATTGTTACAAAATAGTTAATCAATTAATCTTATTGAAATCTCCACGATTTCATTCGCAATCCGTCGGTTCGTTCCGAAGAAAACACTGCGATGAGGTCTTTTACTAATTTTATCAGCAAGTGAATCACACTTTTCTCAAACTTTTTACATACGAAATTTTCTTCCAGCTTCTGCCAAACTTCCGACAAATTTCTAATCATTTTTAACGATAAACAGGCGTCGAATATATAATAATACATAATAATAATATAATAGTAATATATAATAATCGATAGTAGTATAATAAGTTGAGTATAATAGTACATATATAATAATAATAATAAGTATAATAGTATATATATTATATAATAATCGAATATCTCTCGATTTTCGTGCACCGCATCGTGTCCGCTGGTCAAACATCAGCGAAATTCGAAGGTAACGCTAAAAAATGAACACCCTTCGCGCGGCCATTCCGGCGCGAATCGTCGGGGACAACATTCATCAGTTTTCTGGCAATTTGCTATTCCCGTGCGGCAACGTTTCGCGTTATCGCGTGGCGCACACGTCCGAAACAGCTAACCGGTTAAAGCACCGGAAAATCCGTTGGAAAACCGGCGACCAGTATCGGAAGAGCCGCGGCGGCGGCGTCGGCGGCCGTTTCGCCGATCCAATTTTCGTCGAACCGATCCGAATTCACGGGAGGCTGGCTGTTCCGGTGTCGTGTGTCGCGCGAGGAATCCCGGACAGCGTTTGACAAACGAAATGAAACGAAACGAAACGAAGCGGCTCGAAACGGAACGCACAGCTGGCTGTCGAGGACCCTGAAAAATGCCGGGAGATCGAGAAAGTATGCGGCGCAGAGCACACGGGGGAAGCGCGCGAGTCCGGATCGAAAGCTCGGCCCGCGTACCTTGACGACCAGCGGAATGGAAGCAGGCAGCTTCAGTTGCTCGCGAACCTCCACCGTGGAAACGTCTGGCCGCGTTCGTTCGTTCGTTCGTTGGTTCGTTGGATCGTCCGTTCGGCGCGAACTGCTCGATAGTCCGCGTCCGATCGGCGAGTGGATCGACGGAAGAGGCCGGTCTCTCGATCAGTGATTAAAACCGCGATCGACCATAGCCGCGATCGATTCGTCCCGGCAACCTCGACCTCGGGCCGGTCTTGATGCGAACACCAGCGCAGTGCGAGCCGTGAAACGAGGATGAGGACGGTTCTGTTTGCGCCCTGGTGTCCGCGCGTCGACCACTTCGGAGAGTAAACCGATAGAAAGAGAGAAATAGAGAGAGAGCGAGAGAGCCACCTCGAAACACCATGCCGAGTTCCTTGGCTCTGATGATCCTTTGCGCCACAGGTAAAACGGCGGACCCTTTCCCGTGGACCATTTATTTTCGCGGAGTTCGGGGGCGGCGATCGGTCGCCGGGTTTATCAACGATTCGATCGCCGATTCGAATTATTCCGCCGAAATCTGATCGATTCCGCCTCCTCGGCCGAGAGTGTTTTGGGCCGGTTGTTCGCGTTGAGACCAGGGCTCCCAGCACCCATGGGAATTACTTTTCTTCTGCGGTAGAGTCCGGAGTGCCGTTGCACGCCGCCTCGGAAAAGTTCGAGCGAAAGTTTCGTTGTGAGGCGCCTCGGAACTTGAGAGGGAAGTTCCAACCCTTCGGAGGATGAAGCAACTGGTTAGACGACTGTGCTTGATCAGCTAGACCGAGTTTCCTTCCACTTCCATCGTATTTAGCCGTTGCGAACGCCCGCCGGAGATTTCGAAGTGCAACTTTTTCGTTTTCTCGATTATTTTCTCAGGCGGAAGCGGCCGGCGGTTCGATTGATCTCGTCGACGACGGAAACGGTTTCTTTGGCCACCGGACGGCGGACCATTTGCACGAGTATTTATATGATCGACGATGTTCGCGGCGATTTTTCAGTTTTATTCGTTGAATTTTCGGGAACGTATTTTTCGCGGTGCTTCGCGGAGATCTCTGGCGAGTAGTAGTAATTTGTTTAATTTAATGGCCGAGTAATTAGGAGCAGAGGGTCAATGTAAACACTTCGCTCAATGGAATCCTATTAATCGTGCCCCCTCAGCCACTGAACTTGGAGATCTTTCAATTAACGATTTCGAGAGAGCTTGTCGCGTTAAGTGAATCCGAACAATTTGACGGATTAGGGACAAGACTGTTGCTTTTTGACCACTTTTTATGTGACTGAATAAAATAAATGAGAGAGGCTCGAACATTTTTCTTTCAAATAATAATTTCGAGAGAACTTGTTACGTTCTGTTAATCTAAATTAAATTATACGGATTATAAACGAGACCGTTGTAGCTTTTAAACAATTCTTCTTAGGAAATTCTGAACTTCTTCGAGTTTCAAGGAATTATCAAAAAGAATCGTCGATAGATAAAGTGTTGACTGTTTGGTGATGTAACGCGATTAAACGAACACTGCAACCGAGATTAATTTCGTTGAAACTTTCACGATACGTTCGCGATTATTGATTCTAAAATTATCTAGGAAAAGTCATGGTTCAACAATGTCGTGGAATTCGCGTCGCTTTATTTTTCTAGAAACGATACCGACAACGATAATTGGGGAGGCCCGATCGTCGTGTCAGTTGCCCGCTGAAAGAATTCTAATTGCGTGTAAGAATGGGAGCTATGCCCACCGTAATTGCTGCAACTGCAATTCGATTGAGATTCGTGCTGTGAAACGAAGGTTAACAGAATCATTCAACTATGACACACTATAACGGTGCTCGGCAAAAATATCGCCGGCGATTCGATTTCTTTAATATTACGGGAAATTAACCGTAATTGGTAGACCGCCGGATCTTTGTTCGAAATAATAATTTTCTGCTTCGGTTGCGGGAAATAAACGGCAAACGGACAGTTCGTTTTTCTTTCAACAATTCCAACAGATTCGCGATAATACACTGACGTTTATAAAACTTAATCTTCCTGTTGTCTTAAATTCCACTGGCACAATTTCTCCATAATAATTCTGTTCAATTATTTAGTAATTATTTTATGTTTTTCATAACGATTTAGTCTAATAATATATTCTTTATTATTCTTTATTATATTTCTTATTATTATCATCTATTATATTCTTTATTATTATTTATATATTTCTTATTATTATCATCTATTATATTCTTTATTATTATTTATTATATTTCTTATTATTATCTATTATATTCTGTATTATTAATATTATATTTAATATATTCCTCCGTACGTATACAAATTCATCGGTCAATTTGCAACATATTTTTCTTCCGCACAGTGGACTTTCGATCGATTCCGTATAATTCGAGTATGATACATGGCAAATATGAGAATAAATATGCTCACTATAAAGATTATCCGACGAACGGAACATGCGTCGCCTACTGCACTGTAAAAATTGTTGGTCGGCCAGCCGATGGAGTTACAATTAGTGCTTATCGATAGTCACGCGGCGGGTTAATTAGTACGGTAGAAATAATGGTGACTAATGGCGGTCTAAGGAGAAACCGTGCGAGCCGATAACGCAACTAGAGATTATTATCTTCTTATCTGAATTAGTCGAAGCGCCCATCAGATAATCTCGAAAGGAAACGGTGACATAAGCGGCATTATGCCGATGGTGAAAAGTTTCGCGCGACCTAAAACCGTGTGCATCGCGATCGTCTCATTAGCACGCGCGCGCGCGCGAGAGAATTACCGATCGGGACGGGAATTACTTGAAATAATAATTTCGAGTAACACGTTCTACTTAATAGATTATTCATTAGCGTGCGGCGGGTTTTACGCGTTTATAACGTGCACCTCTGTGCGTGGGATGCAACAAATTGAAACCTTAATGGAAGGTAAATCAATTTTTCGCGTTGTTCGCGTATCACGGCCATTCACGTATACGTACCATGTTTTCATATCATTAATGGAAAATATGAGTCGCCAATAAATTGCAATTACTTGGAAAGAAATTTAACAAATTCTATATCTTGCACAAATTGATATTATTATTAATATTATTGTATATAGTTGCCAACTGATTGCAATTACTGGAAAAGAAATTTGATCAATCCTATCTTGCACAAATTAATATTACCGACGAGGAAATATTAATGACCAATAAATTGTAATTACTGGAAAAGAAATTTGACGAGTTCCATCTTGCAGAAATGAATATCGCGAACGAGAAAATATTAATAACCAATAAATTGTAATTACTGGAATTCGACAAAATTTTACCCTGCACGAAGAGACATCGAAAAGTTTGAATATTTATCAATGATGCTGTGATTCGTTATTTTACCTTTTAATAGAACATTTTTCGCATCACAGTGACTTCGATCAGAATAAAAGGAACGAATGCAAGATAATTTACAGCGGATTTACCGTGTTCCCGAGAATCGTCGTGGATTCGTAATAGAATGAAAATGACTGGGTTGAGATATAGCGGCGTTGCGCAACGTGACATAGGCCCAATAAAAAATAAGGCCACGCACACCTATTGAATAGCTCGAAGACCGAACCGAACAGATCGGCCATCTATTTTTGTTAGAGGGTACACGAATCTGAAGAGCAGGAGAGCAGATTACGATGCTACCGAATCTCGAATGTGTCATAAAAATAGCCTAACCGCTGGGAAATTCTCACCATTCGGCCCATTAAATTATCGTTAAATTATGTAATTCGCGTGGCCTTCCTATCACGTAAGTCTATGTATAGCGCGCGAAGAATTACCGGTGAAATCACTTGGAGAGAAATCAACGTCAAAGTAACAGTTCATATCAGGCGGATTAAGAGCAGTTCGATCACGAGCGTAGCATCATTAATAATATCGATGAAAATTCAAAAGTTCCTCGAAATTTTCAAGAACTACGAACACTAATAAATAATTAACAAACCGAGAGAAACGTTAACAATGAAATCCCATAATTTATTAAGAGTTTATATACGCGACCGTTGTTTCTCAAATATGTTCTTGTTGCAATTTAATTGACGTTAAACACCGGAATATTAAAAAAATAACGTTTAAGCAATAATCTGCGCAATTTTTAGGAGAACTCGCGTGTTCAAATTTTGTTCAAATTGCTTCATCGATTGGACTCCAAAAATAACCAAATTCTAGACTGTATAATTAAACTTAGGACTTGAAAAAACGAGATAACAGCGGCGAAATTTATGGAGCTGTTGTTACAACAGATATCCACAATTTTCACAGAAAGATTTTTTTATAATCGACAAAATTGTACAGTCAAAGGACTTAATCGTCCTAGACAAAAAAGAAAATGCTATTTTTTCTACGATAATTTGTGCAAGAAAAATCTATAAATTGCAACAGTAACGATCATTGTGTAACAATAGCAGCTTGCGTAATTGTTTAGAGACTCGGGGGAAAAAAATCACGAAGCGTCCGTTATCTCGAAAGAATTTCAAAGATATATTAACACAAGGCACACGTCGATGGTCGAATGCAGCCACCGCATTTCGATGCAACATTGCGCGTCGAACTTACGCCGCATCGGAATTACAATATTACAGGAACCGTGAAACAATCGCGCGCAACAAGTGCACGGCTAGCCTTGTACCACATGCATCCTGGGCGTCTTTCATGAATGACTGAAACTAAAAATCGTGGGAAGATCGTCGAGCTCTCGTTGTTATTCATTTATTCGCGATTCGTCCGGATGCGACGCGATTTATGCGCGTCGCTCGCAATCACGCGACCGGGGCGAAATTGTGAAAATAACGCGCAGCCGTTATAGTTCGACGCGTTCGACGGCCAATGGGAACCGGCGCGGCTCAATTATCAAAGTTCGCGTAATCGCAGAGACCCGCGAAAATGCCTAATGTCAACGCCGGCCGGCCGTTTAACGCGCGCGAGCCGTTTCGAAAGTTTGCTATCCGCGGACGAAGCCGTGATTCGCGGATGCTCGGGGCGCGCACGATTGTTGACACAATAGATAAGAAAACAGTATCGCCGTGCGATCTTGTTGGAACGTGATAAAACGTGTTCAAGGCGTTGTTTTATCGCAGCTAAAACTCTCGGCCGAGAAATGCGAAAGAATTTTGGCGGCTACCTAATTCTCTTTATCATTTTCGGTTTCGACGACGACATTTTTTTGCGCAACGATTACATTTTCGAGGCAGCGCCTAATTTTTTGGCGTTAAATTTCTTTCTTCTTTTTTTGCTAATCTTTCGCCGTTAAATCGTCGCGCGCATCAAATTGTCAACGTTGCCGCGAATTATTAGAGGCGGGAGAAAAAGTGATCGCATCGATAAAAATCGTTCGGTTGAAAATTGAACGATAATAAATTCATCTACAAGCTATCGGTGCGAAATGCTCTTATTTTTCAGGCG